CTGAAGCCAGCTCTTTCCAGAGCTCTTGATGGATGCTGTCAATAGTACTTAAAGGATGAAGAGCCTCTTGCTAATAGCAAATGCTGAGCAAAAAGTGGTAAGTAAAAGCAAACATGAGAGAAGTGCTTCCCCACTGCACTCCCAGCCTCCAATGAGCCTCTGCTCAAGGATTTCCTGGTATTTCTGTGTTTAATTCTCCCTGGCAGCTCTTTTCCATTTGAATTTCTTTGCTTTTCAGGCAAATGGGAAAGTCTGGCATCCACAAATTTCTGTGGCAATGAGATTTACAGCTTAATTACACCCTGTGTAAAGTGTGTGCCTCCTTTTGACGCAAAAACTCCTACCCACAGCTGTATTTGCTGGGCACTGCTGAGACATCATTCCCGCCGGCAGCGCGTGGACCGAGCAGTTCCAGAGGGGTCGCGGCTCCCACAGCAAAGCTTTGTGCCACCGCGGCAGCTTTGCTCTCTTTTAGCTCATGCAGCACGTGCAAGAGCTGCTTTGTGGGACAGCTGTAGGTTCAGCTTGGCCTTCTGTCAGCACAGCAGGGTCAGGTCACTTTTCATCCCTGAGCACTGTGAACTTTCACGTGTTGAAGTCCTATTGCAGATGAGAAAGTTGTGATTTTCATGCAGAACAAACCTATGTTAAATTTAAAACACCCAAACCAACTGATTTCTCATCTTAATAACAATAAGCACTTTTCCCCCAGCTGTATATCCCACTGGCTTTATAAAGTGATACATTTTTACATAACCACAGAGTCAGAACCAAAAAGCCTCTTAGGTAAATCTTGCTAAATTACAATGTCTATAAAAAACCCAGACTGAGAAAAAATCACAGTTTGCAGATGGGCCTCCTCCAGGTAGCCATGAAGTCTCTCTGGTCTGGCTCAGTGGTAGTTTCCTACTGTGATTCATTAGGGAAATACTTTTTAAAGAGTTTTGTTGGGATTTACAGCAGTGCTGGATTTGAATAGCTCCATCCTTGCAGTATCAGAGACTGAAGATCAGATTCTTAATGTTTAGCTACCACAATTGCTCCATTGCCAGAAAGATCTGTGCACTAGGTATTATCATTTCATGTGATGATGTTCTCTTGCTGAAAAAATGGAGAAAAATGAAGCAGATAGAACAGTCTGGACAAGGAGATGTTAAAATGATAAGACAAGGCAGTTTTAATTCACAGCCAGGTCCTGGGCAGCAGCAGATAAACTGAGGTGTGACAGTAGGTAACTGCAAGCAGCACATGCAAATGCAGGGATGTTTCGTGGGCTGTGACTGAGTGATGCAAAGGAAAGCCCTTTCCTTCCTCCTCTCAAAGGCTGGCAGCACGGCTGCTGGAGCCTCTGTAGGCTGTAAGCTAAGCAGAATCTTATTTTGGTAGCCAGACCATATGGCTTTCTCTATAGCCAAAAAAATCTATAGCAACCTTATGTAAAGTCCAGAGCAGAAGCACCGTACCCAGACTCAAATATAAAATCAGCTTCAGAAAATATTGTCTTGGCTATCTTCCCTACTTCCATATTTTTAGCTTGATACAGATTAATACAACTAAAGCTTATTGGGCTTTTTGAACCATCTCTTTTCTCCTTTTTGCACCACAACATTTAAGGATTAAACCCAGAGCAACCCACTACATATTATTTTTAAAACAACCTGAGATTGATGTCCACATTTTGTAAATGTGCTTAAATTTACACACAAGAAATTCTGTTCCTGAAATTTAATTCTGCACATACATAGGGCTGGCTCCCATTAATCCCTTTTCTTTGAAAAAAAAATCCTTTTTTTTAAAAACTTTTTTTTTAACAATCTCTAGGCATTCTTACTGTCATTGTGGGAAAGAAAAGGAATTGACTATAAATATACTGGTAATAGTCAACTGAGAGTCAAAGTCAAAAAGAAAAGCAATGGTTATCCTAACAAGCGTAATAGGACTGTTTTCTGAAAATTTACACTGGGTGGTTTTTTTTATAAAAAGAGCATGCCAAGAACCACAAATTACTTGTCTCAATCTACTCTTTTTTTCTATTTCTCCGTTTCTTTTCTCATCACTTGGTAATTCACGTACATTAAATTCTATTCAACGTGTTGCCAATTATGAAAATGACATATATTAAAATCCTGAACTGGATGACTAATATTAATTTTAGACTCTATTTATTACCTGTTTATAACAACATGATATTGTTCTGCAGCCTATTTGTAGTGCTCAGATGAGGATAAATGTTCTGTGGGTAGCAACAGTTAGATGTGAATTAGCCAGTGTTGTTCTCCTTGCCAGCTGTGGCAGATGTGCTGTGTTGCGTTCGGTTCAGAGAGGAAAACAGTTACCACGAATGAAAATATGGAAAGCACTTGGGGTTGTGCAGCACCTTTAAACAATGATCCTGAAAGCCTTTCAAAGATTGTGAAGTGGTGCTATTGGAAACTTGAAGTCCTTTGAAGGGTGTTCACATACCCTCACACAAACCCAAGAGTTTTGCTTCTGTGTGATTCTTAGAGGGTTTTCTTAGTCCATACTTCTCCACCTGGTGCAACTGCAGCTGTTTCAGTTCCTTTTAGTCCAAAATAGCATCTGAAAAGGACTGTGAAACAGAAGAGAAAGCAGACAAATTAATTTAAAAAAAATTATATGCACACACACACATATATATATACAAATATATATTTGAGAGAGACCCCCACATGATGGTACTTAACGAGAGCTGCTAGGGGTCACCAAGAGACATTTTGGTGAAGGGCAAGGAAAATCACAGAATCACAGAATGGGTTAGGTTTGAAGGGGCCACAGTGGGTCATCTGGTCCAACCTCCCTGCTCAAGCAGGGTCATCACAGAGCACATGGATTATGTCCAGACAGCTCTTGAATATCTCCAGTGAGGGAGACTCCACAACTTCTCTGGGCAATGTGTTGCAGTACACTCAGTCACTCACACAGAAAAGTTCTTCCTCATGTTGCAGGACAGGGTAGGAAGTTTGCTAACTAAAGCAAAAGTCTGCTTCCTGCTAGTCCGAAGATACTTTCAATTAGGTAGGATTAAAATATGAGCCAGAAATGAGCAGTAAGCATACTACAGTGGGATGCTGAGCATATGCCTGGATGGGTTTTTCCATTTGGAAGAATTGCTTGGGACAGATATGATCAGTAGTCCCTCTGTTCTGGAAAACCATTTATTGTTCACTGTGTTTTACAGAGGATCTGAAAAGGGATAGAACATAAATAACTGTTGTAGCTCGTGGGACTGCAACTCTGCAAGAAGCAGACTCCTTAATTAGTCTCTAATGAAGAAGTAAAAGAGGTCCTGGAGTCATAGCTCTGGAAAGTATGGCGTTACCTCTCCCTCCTCTGCTCTTGGTGAGAACCTGCAGTGCAGAAGGACTGGAAAAGAGGCCTGCACAGATGGGACTTCTGCCCATGGGAAGATAAGCATACCCAGGAAGGACCCTTGGCTGCTCCCGCTCTCTGGGGCACGCCTGCTGTGCAAACTAGCCTCTCGCCAGCCACTCCCAGCTCAGACTCAGCTTCCCTGGGATAAGGATACTTACACAGGATACTGTCAGGGGGAGTCTCTGCAGTTGGAAGGCATAGGGAGACAGGAAATGTACCCAGCTGCTGTGCTCAGACAGGCACCGGGTGGTGATTAGGAATGAATCCCATACTAGCTTTCACAGTTAAGATGAAGTGGGAAAACACTGAATATACCCACATCCAAGCATACCAGAATAGGTATTAGCAAACACCAACCATGACCTTCATCATGATGACTAACCAGCTATAACAGAAACAAGTCTTTCACAAACAAGAAATGCAAGCAAAACTCTTTCCTCAGCAACTGGCAAGATCAACACCGGACTCAACATCCTTAATTTTAATCTGTGAATAGGCATTCAGTTGGAAAAAGTTTGTGATGGGGTAGAGTCCTCTTGTTTTCCTCTAAGATGCTAAGAGAAAATTGCTGTACAATCTCTAGAAGCACTTTCTTTTCCTTTTGGCAGGGTAATTTGCATTTACAGCCCATATGAAATACATACTCTGATATTCATTTATCAAAACCCAAGATGATGGACTGGAAGGCCAAGCAGGGGAATTACACACACAACAGGCAAATGCAGGCTCCAGAGTGTGTTTGCTCTCTCAGGGATTTGTTTCAACTTGCACCTGGAGAACCAAACAAAATCTTCAGAAAAACACAAAATCTGATAAACTTGCATTTGGGGAAAAAAAAAAAGTGAAATCCTATTAGAGTTCAGCTACACTGGGTAACTTACAAATTGAACAGAGGAAACACACAATGGTGTTAAATGCTCACAAAACTGGATCTTTCTGTAGTCCTCTTACTGCCCTGCATTTACGTCTAAAACCTAAATCTCATTTTAACATAGAAAGCAGCAAGACGGATTTGCTAGGATTAGTTTACATGAGAAAAAGTAAAGTTAAGGTGTTTACTGGCTAAGGAGTAAAGATATTTAGAGAGATGTTCTGAAACAGTTTCTAAGGGATGCATTTTTTTTTCCTAAATCATTATTTGTGGCAGCTGGACTGAAAAACAAAGCTAAAGGAGTTTCCTTTCAGTTTCAAAGCAATTCTGGACTTCAGCTGTAGCCTTAAAAATGCACAGACAGAAAAAGGATTAATTTTCATCTTTTAACAGAAATGCATTCACTAGAAAGGAAGCAAATGGTGTCCAAAAAGCAACATTTGTGATATGAGAAGCCACGCCAGCTTCTTGAGTGCAAGCTACAATATGTGCTGACAGCTTAAGCAATGCAGGGTGCAAGATTAGTCATTGCTCTGCTATTTACAGCAGCTCATTTCTTCACTGGTAATCTGCAGAAAAGCAAAACAGGATTCCAAACACCAAACTTCAGGCCTTTTAGTTACAGGGAAAGCACTGAGAAATCACTATGTGCAAGTGTCCTGAGTTTAACTGCAGCATGGAACTGAATCCTGCAAGGATAATTGCATAACAAACAAAACAAAGTTCAAAAAAGAAGTATTGAACACTTCCTTTACTGGTAGCCTCAGAATTTAGCTTGTAACCTGTTTTTAAGCATTTCAGGATTTATAAACACATACGGCCGTTAATTCTGTGAAAGTTCCTGTAAACTTATGACCAGACAGTATTCTGGCTGCACTGCACAATGTTTTAGATAAAAGCAGTTGTTTTAGGATGAAATTGCCAAAATATTTACTTTAAGCTTATACAATTAATCAGCAAGATTGTCATAAGTGTTGTAACAGACTTTATTGTATTTATCTGTTCTTACAACACCAAGACTTCAAGCTTCTCAGGCAGAACTGCAAAATATGCTGGTTCACTTTGGTGGCAGAAAGTACGTGGATTTTATTTCTCCATTCTGAGAGGAAAGGTGAAAAGCCTAAACACCTTTGCTGTGGGATGGCTTGTTGCTTTTTGGATTTGGGGCTTTTTTCCATTGATTTCTTCCCATTATGATTTTATCCTCTTTATGATGTCTACCCTTATCAAGATTCATTTATATAAAAATGATCCAGTACTTTGAAGACATCTTAGCTAAACTTCTGCAGCATGCAATCGGGAGCTGGCCAAGTAGTCTGGATTTGGAACAAGGGATTTTATAAAAAATGTGTATAGTTTTGCTTTTAAATTCACCATGTTTTTTAGAATTATTCATTTGTTATAACATAAAATATCAATGTAAATCACAAGTATGACATTTTAAAGCTGAAGTGACAATTGAGCATGTTCTTTTAACTAACAGTGGCATTTTATCTGGATTTTGAAGCACCAGTCCAACCATGCAAAGGTGTTACCAGTAGTCAAATCTGAAAACAGAAAGCAATGCTTTTGGCAAGGCATTTTATTACAATGTCAAATCTTTTTTTTTTGTTAGCAGTCAGTCACTGAAAACAATCTGTACACATCTAATTTAGTCAACAAAAATAGTTGTACAACTTTAAGTGATGTGCCCCATTTACGTAACTTGTTATGCTCTGAAGTGATGCTCTTCATTGAATCCTCACATAAACAATTACCAGTCTTAACATATATTAAAGTAAGATTAGGTTCTTCTCTCAAAAGTACAAAAAATAACACTTTAAATATACAGTGGCTCCTAAGCTTAGACAGAATCCTTTCAGGAAGAGAGTTTTGCACTTCAGTAGACAGTGCCTTTAACATCAAGAGCTCTTCAAAGTGCTTGGCAGAGGTGTGTGAACACTATCCCCACTTACTAGATGATGAAATAAGGCACAGAGGTCAACTACTTTGCCCACAGTCACATAGAGAGCGAGTGGTAGAACTAACAGAGCAGAATTTGGGGGTTTCAGTTCTCCAGTGTAACCATCACATCTCATTGCCACTATTCAAGTGCAACGGCTTAAACCTTTCTGAGGAGCAAAATGTGTACAGCACACAGTAAACAGGAGGGAAGATTCAGGGCTGGTTAAAGGCTGCAACGGTTTCAACCCAAACCAAATTAATTTGGTAGTCAGAAACTCATAATGCACTTCAGGGAATGATTATATAGAGAACTATACATTAACCTGCAGAGAGAAAGCTCATTAAACGTAAGACATATGGTGTTAGCTTTGCAAAAAGTACTGGTTGTCTTAAGCTTGACAGCAGCTCAGGTATAATGTTAAGTTTGTCAGAGAAGCGGTACTTTGTGACCAGCAGATGTCCTAAACATTGTTCTCCTACCAGCAAGATGAGAGTCACACAGAAATGCAAATAAGGGCTAAATATCTCCTCAGGAGGCAGAGATGTGTATGAGGCACAAAACCCCACATTAATTGCTTCTGAGGTATGGACTAAGTGGTAAAGAAATACCAGTCCAGAAAAACAAAATAGTCAAAAATAAATGTGGTTACAAAAACTGTCACTCATCCAAAATCACCAAGAAATGCATCTTTGGATAGCTTATCTTGCAAAAAAACAAAAAAGTGTGACACATGTAATTCCTGCCTAGATGAGAAGCATTCTCTGTCCTAGCCCTCTGCTGACAAACAAGCATTTCAGAAAGCCTGTCCTTGGATAGGATGCTCATGAGATGACTCATTTACTGACAGAGGCTGCTGATGGGATTCAGAAACAAGTACACTTTGATTCTGTTCTTCATTGACTTGATGGGAAGGAACTGTATTGTGGCTAGAATGAGACTGCTGGCTTGATTCCTGAGCCAGCTGCATGTGCTGAGCTGGATGTGAAGATCCCGTCAAGTGGATTTGTTCATTTTGTCCTTGATGAGCATGGAGATGTTCTAGCGCTTCCTTTGAAAGAGTTATGACATGCATTTGTTCAGACTGGGCAGCCTCTATTTGGTTTGCAATCACATTGATACTTTGGATTTGTTCTGCTTGCTCCTGCTGAGCTGAAAGTAACAAGTTTTGCAGCTGTTGTGGAGGCTGTGCAAGGAGCGCGAGGTTCGCGGCCTGCTCTGTTGTCATGCTGGGGGCATTTTCTGCAGTCACAATACTGATGCCTTGATTGTGGCTGGGCATGAAGTTGATGTTGTGTACTGCATCTGTAACCAGCAGCTGAATTTCCTGCCCTCCCGAGGTGGCAAGTTGGTACTGCTGCAGCTGGAGAATGTTTCTCACTTCTTCCGGATGAGCGTTGGTGCTTGGGGCAGTGCTGACTTCCTGAAACTGCTTTTCCTTGCTGTGAATTTTCAGATGCGACTTCAGATTGTCCAGACGAGCAAACTGCAAACTACATTCTGGGCAGGCAAAAGGCTTTTTGCCTGTGTGTAAGATACAGTGTCTTCTCTTAGCACTGGAATCAGAGAAGGATTTTCCACATATATCACAAGAATATGGCTTTTCTCCTCTGCAAAAGGAAAGAATTTGATCTCATTAAAATATTCACTTTGACAATGCTGCTTTCTGAAACTTACTCTGTAATAAAATACTTAAATGATTACATTGTTTTTCTAAATTTTAAGTACATAAGGGATGGCATCATTAAAAACATCCTCTGTTTGACCTCCTGATTATTTCTATTTGACTTCACAAGCTGTACAATTAGTATATACTCCAGAGCTACAGAGATAACTGCCTTCCTCTCATAAAACCAGAGGTACAAGCTCCATGCTGCTAGACCTTGACAAGAATGCAACAACTTTGCAGAATTCTAAGCACTGACCATTTTAAGAACATGCATTAACAGTGTGAGCTTAAAAAGTTCAGCGTCCAAATCCTAACTTGCTGCCTGTGTCAAAAGCATAAGAAATTTTACTGCATGTGTTTTCTTAGACAAAACTTCTCTGGTGATTTAAAATCGAACATGTCATGGAATGAATTGCCCTGACAGGGGTAAAAGAAAACTAATGCTATGAAAGAAACAGGATAGCTCACAGGCTAACAGGACAATGCTCAAATAACCTTTACACACTATGGCTACTGGTTTGCTGTCAGACAAAACTTACAGTAAAATCTTCACAAAAATAGTATAACAGTAAGTATACACTGTCAGTGAACAGACACAAAACACCAAAGAAGACTCTTACAATATCCTGGCGCATGAGTATTTAGGACTTCAGTCCTAAAAAAATACCTATTTTTTCCTTACATAGATTAAGCAAAAATATTAAATTTTTAACAGTTGTTCAAAATGCAATCAAGTCTGATTGTTTTATAATTAAACAAGCACTACATAAAAGTTATAAAATTAGAAGTTACATTTTTAAAGACTGTAATGAGAAAAGACATACTTTACCTGTGAATTCTAATGTGAGTCTGAAGTGAACTTTTAGCTGTAAATGACTTGCCACAAATCTCACAAGTGAATGGCTTCTCACCTATCAAAAAGAATGTGACTTCCCTTTTTAAATAGCACTTTTAATCAATACATTAAAAATATTTTGTATTTTACCATACACAGTATCAAGTGTGCTCACTCACGCTTCTGCCATGGCTCAGCAGATATCCAAAATGGAATGAACCCGCTAGTCAAAATGAGGGTATAATATTTTAAATGTACACCTCTAGCATTTTTCCCCTTTGAAGGTGAAGCATTAGGTGATCCAAGCCCCCAAAGCAACAAAAAGCTGTACCTATGGCACAGATGTGGGTGTTCCACATGGAACAGAAACACTTTGAAAAAGGCTGTCCCTGAACCCTGGCATTAATGCCACATTCACATGCAGCACCATGCAGGTGAGTAACCCCAAACTTCCAAAGCTGAAAAATGAATCCATTATCTTAACAACTTGCCTGGCTTTCTATAACTTGCCTGGCTCCATCACAATAGGCTTATGATATTCTGGGAACATTAAATTATCATCAGTTAAATAAAATATGAGTTTGTTTGGGGATTTTTTTTATTTGTTGGGTTTTTTAAGTGCATTTGGAATTCTGACGTCTAATTGAATAGAAGCAGAGAGGCCAAATTAAATTATAAGAAGGTTCAGAAGAAACAGATACTACCCAACCAAAGCAAATCCTAATTCACACCATAGCAAATCCTTGTAGCACTGAGGTTCGAGACACTAGACACGAGAATCCAGATCACCACTGTGGTAATTCACACCATCAAAGCACACCAAAGCCAGGGATTGGGCAGCAGCCAGTTTCCACGGAAGCTTCCCATTTAGCATAGAACTGCAATGCTTACCAGCTTTCATGTGGCTTTGGAGGGCATGGATAAAGGATGAGAGAACAAAAAATACTTGTCAGAAGGGACCTTTGGTCATTCAGCCCCAGCTTGCCACTGAAAATGGAGTAACTTCCCAAGTAGACTGTATTGTTATGACTCAGTGTTACCAAACTGCTGCCAAAGGAGAACAGTTGTATCTATGTTAACACCTGGCCTTGGAATTTTACTTTGCCTTTGAGATGGCACAGACCAATTATTATTTCTACATAACTAATACTGGTATCTTGCCTGTCTTTTCTAGAAGCAAAATATATTGCAAGCCAGTTTCTGCTAAAACTCAGCTTAGCTCACATTTTTGCAACTTACCTTGCTAGTAAGCTTCCTCTTCTCACTTCCCACCCTAAACTCATTTCCCATTACATTTATAGACATGTATCAGCTTCAGATAAAAAAACTCTTGTTGTTTCAATGCTGTGTTCTCCTCAATACAAAATTAAGTAAGTATCGCATGCTATCACTATTCTGGATAACCAAAAACTCCTAGAAGCACGAATTCTGACCTCAGCATATCCCAGAAAATTTAAATATTTTTCACTTAGAAAAGAGGAGGAAATGAATGAGATTAAGATGCTTGAGACTGAGTTATGTATTACAACAATTAAGTGGCACACTTAAGAATAATTTGATTTTGTGAGGAAATCGCTACTGTTTCTAAAAGACTAAATTATTCACATGTCACCTTATGAACTTACCCTTTAAAGGAAAGAATTTGATGAAGTTTATGCTTTGTTATTATGAGAGGATAGATCAATATTTTTATCTCTGTTATCCAGTGATTCATGATCAGCTTGCCCTCTAAATCTCTTAAAACACCCTCTGACGCACTTGCATTAAATCATCCCTCCCAGCCCATCTCCTGTCAACATCTGCTTTATTACAGTGCAGTAAAAGCTAAATGGAAATAATTATTTTTCTGGTCACAGCACTTTTCATAAGCAAACATCCCTCACAGACAGAGGTGTTTAATTCATTTAGGACACACACTTCCTGTCACTTGTCAGCTCACTGCAAGCCCAATACATGCTGGATTACAACTCTCCCTACAAACTGAATTCTCAGTCCAGGATTCTACCACAGGAAAGCTAACTGGCATTTTCTGCTGCAGGTTTTATAAAACTGGGGGGAAAAGCCCCCTTCCTGTAAAAGGCACTGCTTCTGTGCTGCTGTAACACAAGCTTATTTGTGCTCCTGCATTCTTGCTGTCAAATCTCTTCATTAGCAAGACAGGCATCATTACGTACAAATAGAGCAGAAGTTCATTCCATAGAGACAAGTGTAATTTGTCTAACATTGTTTTGTCCATGTAACTTCAAGAAAAAACAAACCACAAACCCTACAAAACCCAAGGTACAACATTACCTGTATGTGTTCTTAGATGTTTCTTTAGCTGAGCTGCATCCATGAATTTGCGACGACACTGGTTACATTCCGGCAGTGAACGGCCTTGTCGCAATAACAAAAAAAGTGTCAGTGCATAATTGATCCCCTCTATCTCTTCAGTGATCTTTGTTAAAGCACTTTCCTGTAAAATAACCACTTTGATATAATATAGAGATAAAACAAAAGGTGATTCACTGCTTCCTCCCTATCTTAATTGCCACACTCCTATGTTCCCACTTAGTATTACCACAGGAAAAGAGGGAACTGAAAAACACCTTCTTTTGAAGCTTTGTAAATTTTGATTTTCTCCACCACGTCCTCTGTGTGTATCTCCATCCCATTCCAGAAGTGAGAAGAGCACTTCCTAAAGTTTGTATGCCCTTACTAGTCAGAAGTAGTGGACAATTACAATGCAATTTACACACCAGGCAGCAGAGACAGGCAGCAGATTGTTTATACAATTCCCAGCTTCTATGTAGCATGGGTAGCAGGGCTAAAATTATCAAGTTGTATGTCAAATTACAGTGTAACTAATTTTTAATCATCATAAAAGCCCTTCTCAATTAAATATTTTTCTATACATTCCATTTACTATACACCATTATGTCTTCTTCACCATATCCACTGTTATACCAAGATAGGATACATCAAGGCAGCAGAGACTAAATACATCACTGAGGAAGAACTTTCAGCCTAAGACAATCTTTAGGAAGACAAATCAGTATGGACTGTAAGCCAGGTCCTAAACCCAAACTTGTTATACCTGTGTGTAGTCGATAATGGCTCTTGAGCTGTCTCTTTTGGCTGAAGTATTTCCCACACTGATCACAGGTAAAAGCTTTCTGCCCTGTAGAGAAAATTACTTATTAAAATGTAAGCCACGTCTAAAGCAAGTATAAGGAAATAAATAAAATACACAAGCAAGCTGTGAGGAGCTGATTCAGTTTTAATTTGCCTCAACAATGGCTGTCAGAGGCACATGGGGGAGGGGTTGAAAATGTACCACATCCAGGAGGCAGCTAGAAGATGGAGGAAAACCTTCTCTGGGAAGACTTTTCCTGGTTCATGTCTCACATGGGGCAGGCAGTCAGCAGGGGAACACCGAAGACATTCTCCAGTCAGATGGCAAAAGGTCTCTACCAATGGACTGCACTGGAACATTGGACTGGGCCTATGGTCTCCTGTCAGCAGGTGGACTTTGGGAGGAGCCAGGGGCATGAAAAGTAAGTTGTCACAAGCCCCAGAGCTTTTAAAATTTTCTTTTTGAGTTGGGCTTTTGGCTTGGGGCTTTCTTGAGACTGTGCTTTTGAGGCTTGGTGATTTGAGGGCCTTTTTGAAACTTGCTTTTGAGTCAGTTTTTTTTGAGTCCTATGCTTTTTGCCCTGGCCCTAGCCTGCCTTTTGGCTCTCCTGCCCTCGCTGGCTCTTGCTCGCCGGCTCTGGACCTCCTGCCCGACTGGCCATCACGGCAGGAGCCGTGCACAGGCAGGCAGCGTGCACAGCCCCACCTCAGGACATTGAGACACTCCCCAACTCCAGTGGTGAAGCCCTCTTTTCCCTCTGTCTCCCCCCATTTCTTTCCCATTTTTCTTCTGCTTGTTCTGTTTTTTCTAGCTCTCTTTAGCAAGATAACTCCTTTTCATTTTGTTTTTTCATTACCAATAAATGGTTCTCAGATACAACGTTTGTCCTGTTTGACATTATTTAGTTCCTGACCATCCTTTTTTAAAAGAACTCCTTGCAGCTTCCCACAGTGGAATGTGACACCAGAACACACGAGACAGAGCAGAAGTGCTTTTTTTTCAGAAAGACAAATTCTTGCAGCAGAGAGCTACATTTGCCTTGAAGTATTTACCTGAATGTAGGCTCATGTGCTCCAGAAGAGAATGCTTTGTTGTCAGAGCCTTACTGCAAATGGTGCACGTGTATGGCCTTTCCCCAGTGTGCATCCGCTCATGGACTTGAAGAGAATGCTTCTGGGAAAAGCCTTTGCCACACTCATTGCACTTAAAAGGGCGCTCCCCTGAAAGAAAAAGATAACATTTTTAGGCACAAATGCGTCATTTCTCACTAGATGTTCTAAGCTGACAGTGAGATGCACTGCAATATTGTAATTACTGAAAAAATTAGTCTCGATTAGTGGTAAAGAGACAAGCTTCACAAAGGAATAAAATAAATTTTTAGCTATTGCCATATAATTCAGTGCCTAAATAATTAATTACACTAAAATCTAGGTGAGACTTGATTCTGAGATCTGCTGACAAGAATAAACAGCAAACACAGAACACATCCTAATTTGGATCAGCATGCTATTTTGGAAATTCTTGCTGTAGTCAACAACCAACACTTCAACAGTCACATTTGGCAAAATCACTAAACCTAACCCAAAAGCAGCAGTCTCTGAAGGCCTACCTGTATGGCTTCGCTGGTGAATAGCCAAGAAGTGATTATACTTAAATACTTTGCCACAGTCTTTACAGCGAGCTTCAGAACCTGCACGTTTTCTTTTTCCATCGCTTCTCTTTGCCAGTCCTTTCTCATCCTCATCCCCAAGAAGTTTATAATCTTTTAGTTTGATTGATCTCATTATTCTACGTTTGCTGTAACGGCTCTGAGTGCTCTGTATTCCTTCAGATTTAGGATCGTAGTTTTCATCTTTCTCAGCTGACAGATCAACAGCAGTCTCTGATCCACAAGCAGGTTCAGTTTCTTTTGGAGAAAAGAGATCTTTTTGGAGATCTTTTCTCACTGAAGCCTGTTCACTGGCAACTGTTTCTTCTACTTCAGTGTCTTTTTTCATAAAATTTTGCTCATTTTGCACGGAGTTGTTCTCTCTCAGCTGCCCATCTTCAGTGGAATTTGCTCCCAATTCTTCTTCTTCTTCTTCTTCTTGGACAACCTTGATTTTCCTTGGTCGCCCCCGTTTTCGCTTTGGTGGATCATCTTTTTTCCTGTCACTTCCAACAAAAGAGGCTCCACTTTCAGCTGGAGCTGGCAATGTACTACCAGGGCTGCGGCTTTCCAGGTAGTCTGTACAGGCCCACACCAAGTCAGTCACTTTCAGAAGTTGTGCAGTAGCCAGGATTTGTTCTGTGCTTTTCTCACTGGCACAGAGGCAACCAGTGTAGATAAATTCTAGCAGAACTCCAAAGGTGTCTGCAACCATCCCCTCCAACATGTAAATTGATTGCCCTATTTCACCCTCATTTACAAACATCATTGAGAAGTATTCACTGCTGGCAGCCAGCAAAGCTTTATGAGCTCTGAATTGCACATTCTCCACTATTAGAGTAATGTCACAAAGAAAATCCTTTTTTCTTTGTTCCTCAAAATTAGCAAGAATGGTATCTTTGTGAGCTTTGGAGTGGATAATCAGTTTCTCAGAAGGATCAGTTGTTTTTGCCATTTTACTTATGAGTATTAAAGGAGGTGCCTGGAAAAACAGAATAGCTTTAGTAAAGAATTATTTTAAAAGTTGGCATTATTAAACCCAAGTATCATTTGTTATACCAGTAACAGAGTTCAAGAGTTTCTGAAGCAATTCTGAATCCTCTGAATGTTTGAAAAATCAAGACTATTGCAGACATGGAATTTCTTCCAAAAGTATTTTTAAATCCTAGGAAAAGGCTACAGATAGTTTTTTAGATCAGAATTACTGCCTATCATTTTTTTATCACTGATGTACTGTGAATTCCGTATTATCTAAAAAATGGGTACCCTAGCTTCTGAAACTGAAACAATCAGACAGAAACAACTCTTGGTCACAGCTTCTTAGTATAGCACTGGCTTTGCCTGACAAGGTTTTGGTAGCAGGGCAGCTACAGGGGTGGTTTCAGTGACAAGCTTCCCCAGTGTCTTACAGAGGCGACACCAGCTGGCTCCAAGATGGACCCACTGCTGGCCAAGGCTGAGCCCATCAGCTGATGGTGGCATCACCTCTGGGATAACAGATTTTAAAAGGGACAAAGAAATGTGCACAACTGTAGCTGGAGAAAGGAGTGAGAACATGTGGGAACAGCAGCCCTGCAGACTCCAAGGTCAGTGGAGAAGGAGGGGCAGGAGGTGCTCCAGGTGCCAGAGCAGAGATTTCCCCACAGCCTCTGGTGCAGAGGATGGTGAGGCAGCTGTGCCTCTGCAGCCCGTGGAAGTCCATGGTGGAGCACAGATCCACCTGCAGCCCCTGGAGGACCCCACACCAGAGCAGGTGGGTGCCTGAAAGAGGCTGGGAGCCTGTGGGAAGTCTGTGCTGGGGCAGGCTCCCAGCAGGACCTGTGGCCTCACAGAGAGAAGCCCACACTGGAGCAGGTTTGCTGGCAGGACTTGTGACCCTGTGGAGGACCCATGCTGGAGCAGACTGTTCCTGAAGGACTGCACCTGTAGAAGCTGGAGCATTTTGTGAAGAACTGCAGCCCATGGGAAGGACTCAGGCTAAAGTAGTTTGGGAAAAAAGGACTGTCTCCTGTGGGAGACCCACACTGGAGCAGGTGAAGGGTGTGAATAATCAAAAGAGAATCAAAGACAATGTGCAATGAACAGACTGCAGCCCCCATTCTCCATCCCCCTGCCTGGCTGGAGGGAGGATGTAGAGAAAACTGGGATTAAAGCTGAGCCTGGAAAGAAGGGAGAGTTGGGGTGAGCTGTTTAAAAATCTGGGTTTATTTCTCATTATCCAACATGATCTCATTGACAATAAAGAAATTTCCTCAAGTCAAGTCTGTTTTGCCTGTGCTGGAAACTGGTGATCAATCTCTTTCTGTCCTTACCTCAATCCATGAGCTTCTATTATATCCTCTGTCCCCTGCCCACCTGAGGAGGAGAGTGGCAGACTGACTTTGCTGGGTACTGGTGTCCAGCCAGCACCAACCCACTACACTGGGAAAAAAAAAGGTCAACTGCAGTTTGATCAGTGCCGTTTACTCAGGGAAAAGGCTAGGAAATCCTGTAATAAATGATGCCATGGTTTAGTTAAGGTGTTAGGGCATGGGTTGGACTCAATGATCTTGAAGTGATTCTGTGTTAAAACTTCACTGGTATCAATGTGTCAGGACTTCATTACTTCTTTTAACCCAAACTATCCTTCTGAAAATTTCTCTTTTTAAATTTTTTTTAACACTTTCACTTTTTTAACAGTTTTTACTTTACTAAGCTTCAGCCTAAGAAGGTAGGCAGTACAAACACAGAAACAACAGTGTTTTGAAGGGTTGTATCTAATAGAGGGTTCATTAAGGTATCCATTAATGATCAGTGTAACTTGCTAAGTTTCTTCAATAGTAAATTTGCAAAAATTAATAATAAAAAAAATTCCAGCATTTTCAGAAGAATCCACCAAATATTATAGAAGAGATATGCCCAAAAGGTCCTATTTACAAAGCTCAGCTAAACCAGAGATAACACGGATCAGCTACTTGTTATATCCTAATTTATACAAGTGTCATATTAGACGCATATAAATTTGCATATTTGTATGTAGTTTCTCCAACAGTTTCAATCACCTGAACAAATGCTCCATGAAACAGCAGACACTAGCTACAGAAGATACCTAAATGCTACTGAGGTAGTGAAAAAGGGATTCTTTAGCCCAAATCACCTACCAAATAATTCACGGCGGAGTCAAATTGTTTTATCTGGGAGCTTGAATTTCCGGAGCATGTGAGTCTGATGTTTGTTGCTGGAGCACCTTAAAGCACAGCTGCAGGTGTTACCCAATCTGCCTTATCGTGCACTACAAGAATTCCTCGACGGCTGCTGCCAACTCTGCCTGCAGGCATCCCCTAACATCCGCACGTGTTCCAGACAAGCTATTGGCCGTTTTGTGAGTTCTGATCGCAAGAAGGACTTCGGTGTTTAACCAGGAGGTAACAGCATTAATATTCTGACTGCAAAATCCAAACCACTCCCCTTCCCTAAAAACCCCTCACCATTCTAGAGTGAGGCTATAACCCAGCAGAAGGCGCCACGCTGCCGGCAGTGCGTTCGGATACACACTCTGGTCCAGCCGTGGAAGAGCTCCGGTGCCCCCGGGAGGTGATCCCGGGGGGCAGCGCACGGCCCGGGGCTGGGCCTCGA